TTTATTATCTTTATTTTTCGTTTCTACAATTACTGCACCTAGTAACAGGTAAACTTTATAATAAAGACGTTCGGCCAGGGGTCTTCTGAAAAAAGAAGACCAAGAAATAAACAAAAAAAAAAAAAAAGGAAAATGACCAAGGTAATCAGACTAAACCGCGTAGGTTTAAAAACTGTTTAGTCAGCTTGTTTCTCTTTGGTTTCAAATGCTACTAAACCTCTTAAACCAGCAAAAAACAAATTCTTGCAAAGCAGCTGTACAGAGTTGAAAAATTCAAAAAATTTGTGAGAAAACTTCTTTCTTTGAGGCAATAATGTCAAAATTTTTTTTTTTTGCTGTAGTTTAAATAGTTTTTTTTGGCAAAAATATTAGTGACGTCATTGGCGCCGGATCTAGAACTACGACTAATTAAGGATCACGACGTCATTAAGAACAGTCACAGATCAGTCACAAAAAATGAAATCACTGTGCTGCCGTTTCAGAGCTAATCGCATATTCTCATTTGCCTTTATCAATCCAACAACCTTAATCACAAAACAGAAACTATTTTTAAAAATTCTGGTAAGTTGCATCTTTGAGTAGAAATTTTTTATTTGACGCGAGTCTATGCTCAAATAGTAGTCAAGATTTGTTCAAATCTTACTATGTTATGCGATTTTTCTTAGCTGTTCTTCACTAGATGTGCTTTAACCAACATAAACGTTTAATTAAACGGTACCTGTAAAGAGAAGATAACTAAAACAAGAAGTCTGAAAAAAAAACTATTTTTTTAATTTTCGTCATTTTTGTCATTGGTAAACTATAAATATTACTGGAGCAAAAGTTTCAATATCAGTTATTCGACCTATTTTTGTAAGAAATTACCAAAGCAATAAAATTTTATTTGTTGTTTTAGCGTACTAATAAATTAAATAATTTCTTGTTGATACTGGAAATATTTTCATACACTGAAAAAATTCTAACAGATAGTTTTCTTGCGACATCAAAAAATTTTTTTGCATATTTTTTAAACATTTTTGGTTTAAAATATGTCAAAGATTGTGTTTTTTAGTGATCTGAAAAAACAAGACAGTTATTGGGAAAAGCAAATAAAAGTTTAAAACGTTATTGTTTTACAATTAGTAATTATGACATCACTTGTGTGAATGAGCCTATGTCTGCTTTTGCGCTTACGTGGCACTTTATTAAGCAAACAAAAGCTGACCACCATACCAATAACACTGACCAACCAAGTCAGCGTCTTGCAAGTTTACTTATTTTTGATTCATCTCACATCGCAAATCATGTGTTTTATAATAAAAGTCTGAGAAAAAAGAACAAAACGCTATTAAAACTGTTCACGCGACTTCTTTTCGAAACTTCCACTAACCTAAAGTCTAGGCCGTCAGATGAAACTTTTTCACAAAATTTTACAGTAATCTTAAAAACATTAAATAGTGTTTACGTCTGACTAAAACTGTCAGGTGTATTGCAGCCGTACCGTTTGTCTATAATGCTTCAAAAATGTACAGACCCTGAAAACGAGAAGTTACTGAAATATGTTTCTTTTTTGATTTTTGACACTCAGACAGACTTTAAGAAGGACTTTTAGAGTACAGAAAACTTTAAGGTTTGCCTGTTTTTGTTTGTTGATTTATTGAATAATCACGTCTCAAAAGATACCTGACATGTGTTATAAGTGCGTTATTCCTTGGCTTACACCAATAGTTTTTTTAAATTTTGTATATTCTTTAAGCGGAGAAACAACTGAACAGCTAGCAGCACGTACAGTGACTGCCGATGATCATGCCTACTGCTGACTTGTCCTGTTTTTGACTGACAGTCTTACACAGTATTTATAAACTCAGTTTGGCGTAATTATCAAAGCTTAGCTTGACTGTACCTTTAGTTTGTCAATAATATGCAAAAAACACTTTGGGTAAAATTAATATGATCGTTTTGATGCTGTTGATAAATGAGTCATTTTTTCAAACAGCTGCTAGCACATTTGTCATCAGGTGAAAATTTTGCTGCATCTAAAATAAAAAGAAAAGAAGAACATAAAAGAAATTTGACTTACAGTTACAGTCTGTCTGATAAACACTATGACAAGCTTTAATTGGGTGAAACAAAACGATAACGTTTTGTAAAGTTTTAAAACAGTGATTAGCTAAGAAAGTTTGCCGTAATTTATGTACGGTTTTTTTGATGCAATTAACACTTAATTATTATTTGAAAATCTAATTTGTAAAACTTTTACTGTATGTTACTTTAATTGCACCTTATATGTAAAATATAGTGTTAGTGAGGCATTCTATAGTTTCATGATAATTAATAATACTATAAGTCATTCAATGTTTACTCAGTACTACATTTATAGTTTTTCTATAGTTTCACTCAGTTAATTTAGTAAAAGACAACTAGCACATTTAAAAATAAGATAGCTTTTGTGCATTGCATACTGTTAAAAAGAAAGGAAAACCTAGGAAATATAAAAAAGATAAAAGTTTAAAATAAAGTAGTCGAAACTTGTTTCTTATTTTCTACGTTTTGCTCAAAAAAATGTTATCTAGACATATTCTTCCAGTTAGGGACACAGATTTACCAGCTATCAGGCTTTGTATTCAGTTCAAAAAATTATCGAATTATTTGGCTTTGCAACTAGATAATTAAATTCTGAATTCATAGTAGAATTGATTATTAATTATTATAATTAATTATTATGATTAAAAATTATACAAATTACTGCTTTTAGCCAAAAAGTTTTTTTCAAAACAGAGCAAAAAACTTGAAGACGAATAAGCAGGATATTCTCTTCATAAGTTTATTGTATTCATGTAGTGTAAATCAACCTAGCAAACACATCTGCCATTTAAGCTTATCATTAGCAACAGCTTTACAAATTATTTTCAGTTTTAGCTGTTCTCTAATTAAGTCATATTCAAAAAAAATTAACTCTTTTTTTCTTTTAAAAATAAAACTTTTTCAAAAAATTTCTAAAAAAAGTAACTCTAAATACATTAAGCGATATGAAATCATAACTAAGCAGTAATCGTCAACTATTTTTTAGAAGATCAACTATTAGATTCAAAGTTTTGTTAAATTATGATTAACTGTTAATTGTATTGTACAATCACTTGAAAAAGACAAAAAAAAAAAAAAAATAAAAGTAAATTGTTTGTTTAATAAAATGTTTAGTTTGTTCGACAAGTGCATAGTTCAAACTTTTTTTAAATTATTTCTTTTGAAGGTCAAGAAATTTGCTATTTCTGGTTTTTTTTTTAATTTGCTATAGAAAAAAGACATTTCTAATAGTTGACGATTATTGCCAGTTATAAATCTAGAAAAGTTAAAACAAAAGAAAAATTACTTAAGAAAGCAAAGTTTACATAAAAGATTCCTTCTATAATAAATTTCCAGCAATTTTTAGATAAATTCAATAAGATCAGATGAGTAAGATTTAATTTATGTGTACATGATAAAAAAACTGTTGGTTATTAATAGCTTAGTTAAGTGAAAAAAAGCGTAGTCCAAATTTTTTTTATTTTTACTGATGTCAGTTGTCGCAAAGATTTTAGTTTCGGATAAAAAATTCTGGGTTTACTAACAGTTGACTAATGTGTAAAGAATTTTTTTTTTTACTGATAACTGGAGGCATTCACTATTTAAAATAGTACAGATATTGTTTTTACATCAAAAAACCACACTAAGTATATTTTAGAAATGACGAACAACAATTTATTAGAGCAATAAATGCATTTTCTGTAGCTGCTAAGAACAGTTGACAAATTGACTTGCACAAAAAAATCACTTTATTGACTAATCAAAGCCATCTTAACTGAGCTGATGCAAAAGCTAAAACACTCAGTGATGCTATCATAAGAGCTTTATTTGCTGATAACAAAAGTAATGACGAGTTAAAAAGAAATAACAAAGCTCATAAAGGTTATTAATAAAAAAAATTCATACTATTTATTTAGTTATTTATTTTTTTTTTGCAATCCTCTGTTTTTTAGTTCACGAGCTCATCAAGAGTGCAATATAAACTGATAATCAGATGCACTTATTACAGTCATAACTGCAACAATGTCTACGAACGTTAACAATCATTACTTGTTTGTTTAGACTGTCTTCTAATTGCCATTGTTCAGTGTATAAAATAGATGTATGTCTCTGTCATCTGGTTTTCTTATTTTGTTAAATACTTCAATCATCAACTGGAATAACTTTATTCTTTGACGGTACACCAAATGTTATTGCTTTTAGTTTAGTCGTAAATCAACTCAGTTGTTTAAATGTTTGAAAAATACTTCTTTGCTGGTCATTTTTAGCTGCTGTTTGCATAGCCATTCCACCGTTGTTCAGTTGTATATTTATGTTTCGTAGTAATAGCACAAAAGTTTTGATGTTTTTTTCCAGTTTATTGCTTAAGTAAGGTGAAAAATCTCTAACACGTTGAGCGGTACTACGCAAAGAAACAAAAATTGATTTATTTGCTTCTCAACTGCAAACTATTAAGCCATTTTCGTTTCTCCCCTGTTTGTTATCAGTTGAAATAGTCTAAAATAAAGCCATTAAGACCGTAAAAATTCTGGCGTGTAGCAAACTTCAGCAACCTAAAAATAAAAAATGTTTCTCTCGTTAAGCTACAAAAAATGAAAAATATTGTGGAGTAAATAGTGATAAACCAGTTGAAAAGTTAAATTAGTTTTGAAAAAAGTAAAGATACTATTTTTAAGACAAAAGGAAACAATCGCTTCATACAACTCTGTTGAAAAGAAGAATTTTTGAAGTTACAAAAAGGGATTTTCCAGGTTATAATAAATTGTGCTCGTCAAGCGGATATTGATATTTTAAAATGTTAGCAAAAAAATAAAATTTTTTTCAAAAATTTTTTTTCAAGACTGACAACAAAATTGAAAAAACTCTACCAACTGACCTAAAAGGTGTGATTGATTTTTTTTACAGATTTAAAACTAATTGAACTAACAAAAATAGCACTGAAAACAGCGTTTAACAAAATGGGATTTGCGAAAGCAAAACCACCAAAGGGTGAACCTTACTTTGTTGGATGGATTCCACGAAGTTTTGCGGAAAAACTTCTTCATTCCGATGGCGAATTCCTTGTCCGGCAATCACAGCAAGAGAGCGGAGAACCTGAAATGGTGTTGTCGCTGAAGCACAAAGACCACTTTCACCATTATTTCATCTATTTGGAACGTGGATTATACCATTTGGAGGTAATAAAAACCATCTTTGTCTATTAACTCTTAACTTTATCATTCTTTCGGCTTCTTTTTTTTGTTACAACAGTGGTGACAGATAAAATTAACATGTAGTGCATGCAACTTGTGAAGCGACATCCTAACTCTTTACTAAAAGTTTCAATCAACTAATATAAGTCGTATAAAGACTACCAAAAATAGGGCTTAAAAAGATGGGAAGAACAAAAAAAAGTGGCAACTGAAGATTGTAATTAATATTTTGGCATAAAACGATAAGTGATTGCAGGATGTTTTCAAACCGGATATCTCCAGCTTAATTGAATATTATATGACAACACAAAAGAAAATTTTTGGTGGAAGAGCAACACTCAAAATACCGTTTCTTAGACCGTTCAATTTCTTTGCTGAACACAACGTAGAGGTTAGAATTTCTATTTGATACTTAATTCTTGTATTCAATAGCTCTGATTATGGCCATTACACCGCCTTAAAGTGTAACGGCCAAATGTCAACTACGGATTCAACAAATTTGAAGCCATGAGCTGCAGCGACAGAAGAAAAAATATTACTAACATACGGAGGAAAACCATATGAGATAAGAGTGAATTTGGCATTAAAATAACAATTAACTGTTTATATATAAGCAAAAGTGCACTTAAAACTGTTCAGTAAAGTGTTATTTGCGATTCCTTATGACTTC